ATAAATTAAAAACATATACAAATACATAATTATAGTCTAAAACACATAAGGGATAGTTTGCTAAACAGTACGAAAAATTCAAATCGCCCAAGTATAAAAACTTAACTTTTTTACGCCATGAAGAATTCTGTCGGCTATTTTTCTCTTCCACGGCCCGTAGAAAATATATTGCGCGCGCGTAAAGGCACGTGCGTTTGATAACCGCCACGGATGTCCTTATCCTAATTGATAACTGTGTGCATGTTATCTCTAAAAAAATATGTTTACGAGAACGGATAATCGTGTCTATAAAGCATAGGTTCTCAAGCTTTTCTGGGTCATGTACCTCTTTTAAGTATAAAGTACAATTACATTTATAAAATATAGTTATTGCATAATTAAATTATTGTGAAGTTTTAATGTGAAATTGTTGTTGCTTTGACTGCTGCAATATTGTCTTGAAATCTGGAGGTTTGTCCGAATTTGTGTCAACGTTTATTCTTTTGGGACTTGGGTTAAGAAAGAGGAGTTGAAAATAGAACGGAAGCGGCTAAAAGAGAAATGTTGTGATGGATGTGTGAAATAATTAGAGAGAATTAAGAATGAATATATAACGAAATTCGTAAGTTGTACCAATAGCAGGAAAACGAGGAAAAATGGATTAGGGCGGTTTGGGTAGGTTGGGGCATAAAAATAGTTTAGCTTAACAATATAAATTAAGACAAGTTCGTAAGGTTAAGCCAAACTGGTAAAAAATAAATATCATACAGGTATTTTTATACCGTGCATGATTTCAAGGCCGTTTACAAACATCACCCTACTTCATAAGATTTTAATCTTACTTTAATACTTAGGATTAAATGTAAATCCTGCACAAAGGATTTCTAAATTTTCTTTTCAAATCCAAGATACAAGTAATAATAGCTTTTTTATTTATGGATGCTGAGAAAATGTTCGACGAACAAGAAAAATTGATTTTAATATTCAGCAATAATACTACCGACCTAAACGCAAGAATGTCTGAAAACTTGAATGAAATAAATAGCAGGTCCGATTATTACAGGGCATGTAACACAGTTAATGATTAATTGTAGAATAATATTATATTTAGCGACTTTATATTCAAGAAACTAAAGACAACCCCTAAAATAAGAGTTTGTTAAAATAGACATTATTTTAAGCGTGTATTCTTGACAATATGTCTATAATACCCGAATACTATCCACTTTTTATTTTCATTGACGACAATTTATTTTATATTCTGAGCACGTTCCATACGGTTAAATGATGTGCTACCTTATGACAGTAAGGTATATTAAAAATGATCTGGTAGTATGAATCGTTATTAATCCTCTAATTCGAATTATTTTTTACACGGCAAAACAACGCACTGCCGCCGCTAGACGATCGGACACTTCCGTTTGGATCGTACACGGACATTTTTTCATGACTGTATACTATTGTTTTAACCTTTTTTGTAAAAAGAATAAAGAGCAACCGTGATACATATAATTTATTAAACTGTAATTACCCCTTGTTTACCACAAAGTACGTACAACAATTGTCAATAACAAAGAGTTATCGTGTTGTCACTGGTACATTGTGTGTATAATATAATAGTGCATTTATACAAATTCTTGTACTGTACGAAAAAATAACTGTATATTATGTCGGTTTAGCTGAAGTATGCGTAAGAAACGAATTCGCCAGTGTAAAAACGAACACCAGCAACATACTCTATTAGAAAGATGGAGTAGGGTAGACTTTGATATTATCTTGCAATGTATTATAAGAAATGAAATAACACACGAAAGGGCTGACGATTGCATACTAAAAAATTGTCGGATAGAAAAAATATGTAATCTAGATTTTTTATGTTTACTTCAAAAATATTATTAATATTCTATTCAATCTACATAAAAAAAGAATACAGATTGTTGAAGGTCTTTACAGATGATACAAATCCGTTGTGAAGCCTTTGGAAACTTGCAGTGACATGAATATAATATTCGTGTGCTTTGTCCGACAGTCCGATGGGATAAATGTAAATAACAAAATAAATGCATCTGTGTGTTTTATGTACGGCCGATTAGAAAAAATTCGCTGTTATTCGACTTAATATAACGATAATTTTAGTAGAAAACACACAACACTGTCGTAACGCAGACGGACTGTTAATGGTCGGCGTTTATTTTTAAAAATTGTTTAATAGAGATCATGCGAAATGTTTGACACTAACATGCTAACGAGAGCCGCTCGTAACTGTTTTCGACAATACCGTGCGGCTCTTGGTCGTTCGGCGTACTCGACCGAGTGCAAGTCTCACGGTACCCGAAGTGGTATCGTGCTGGGCGTGTACCAAAATGGCACGTCAATGGAGTTCTCAAGAGAAGCGACGGCGTTTAACGATCGGCTGGGCGGACTCCTGGAAAAGTTGGTCGCGTCCATTGGGGTAAAACAAGGCGACGCGTTGCTGTTGAACAACCTGGACAAGGAGTACCCAAATCTGGCGGTGGCCAACCTGGGTCCGACCGACGTGGGAATGGATGCCAACGAGTACATGGACCTGGGCAAGGAAAACGTACGTCAGGGAATTGGCAAGGCCGTTGTACTGGTGACCGACGAGGGCGCCACAAAGGTTTTCGTGGACGGCCTCAATTGTCCGGAAACAGTGGCCGAGAGTGCGACACTGGCCGCGTGGAAGTTCGAGGGCACAAAGTCGATGGAAAACCAGACCGCCAACGTGACCGTCGAGGCACTCCACAGAGACGACCGGGAGCTTTTCGAGAGGGGCACCGTGTTCGGGGGTGTACAAAACCTGGCCCGCTTACTCACCGAGATCCCGGCCAACATCCTGACGCCCAACAATTTCGCCGAACAAATGATCCGTACGCTGTGTCCGTGCGGCATCACCGTCGATATCCAAGACCGTGACTGGATTGAAGCGAAGAAGCTGAACGGGCTGCTCGAGGCGTCCAAGGGATCGTGCGAGCAACCGCTATTCGCCGTCCTCTGCTACACCGGTGGCAACGATAGCGAAAAACCGATAGCGCTCACCGCGCACGCCACCACGTTCGACACGGGCGGCGCGTGTTTGCGCGAATGCGACGACATGGCCTACAAGAAGCGACACGTAGCGTCGGCCGCCACCATCGTCGGCGTGATGAAGGGCATATCGCAACTCAGCCTGCCGATCAACGTGAACGCGTACATCCCGCTGTTCGAGAGCTCCACGTCGGGCACGGCCATGCATCCCAGCGACGTGTTGCATGTCCAGGGCGGAAGGTCGGTACACGTTGACCACACGAAATTCGTGAGTCGACTGGCCATGGCCGACACACTGGCGTACGCCAGTTCCACCAACCCCCGGCTGGTGGTGCATGCGTGCACACTCAGTCAAATCGTGCACAGCGTGTTTGGAGAATTGGCTGCGCCGTTGTTCACCAACAGCCCCCAGTTGTGGAAGGAGTTGGAGAGGGCGGGCGCGTTGATGGGCGACAGGACGTGGATGTTTCCGAGGTACGACCGCAAACGTCAGATGATGATCAACGATCCGCTGGCCGACGTGGCAGTACTCGGAGAAGGCGGTGTGATGCTCGACGATCTGCCAAAAAGCGCAGCGTTCGCCAACGAGTTCATCGACAACCTGGACTATGTCCATCTCGATGTGGCCGGAGTCAGTAAAAACACCGACGAAGTGACTTACCCGTATCTGAGGAAAGAGTTTGCTACAGGGCGCATGACAAGGACCCTGCTGCAGTTTATCTATCAGTTGTCTTGTCCCCATGACCCACCACCACCACCACCGTCGCCAACAAGAAGATGATCTCTTTAAAATTTTAAATGATTGACCCAAAATTTGTATATTAATTTATATATTATAAAAATTGATTGTAAGCCAAATCACATGCTAGTTTTTATTTTAATAATTATATACATTTTTTTGTATATTGAGTAAGAGAATGATTTTATATCCAAAAATATAAACACTGAATTCACAAAATTTGCGCCGTTTGTTATAGCTGTTGTCATAGTGATTTCTTGTAATCACTATGAATAATATTCCCTTGAAATAGCCAAAATAAGATGCTAATGTTAATAGTTGAATATATTCTTTAAAATTGTAGTAAAATATGAAAAATATGCTTTTATTTAAATTCTGTTAAATTCAAAATGTGCTTTTATGCAAAATTGTTTTCCCAACCAATAAATTCGCCACGGGACACGGTCATTTATATCTTATTATAACAATGTGACAGATAATTTTTCCTTAGTAAACTATCATTTAGTATATGTAGGTTTGTATATTTTTCTATGAAAGCGCGGAATTGAGGATTTTGTAATTTATACCACGGAATATTAGCTGCAATAAAACTCAAACATAAATCTTCACAAGATTAATTTACGTTTTTTTTTATAGTTAAAAATGTAATCCATGCATTTTTTTTTTGAAAACATTTTGTTAATATTTACTGAGGATGGTCAAGTGGAAATATTTATTGGGAAATATGCTATATGTTAATTTGTAACAAAAAATATATATTTAATAACTATGTATTTGTTAATCGCTGGCTTCAATTATGTTACTTTTACTAGTTGCCTTGCTATTTTATTTATTTAAAACTAACAGTCAGTGCCGTATTTTTCAATAAATGTAAGTAATTTTTTTTTCGTGTTCAGTTTTAAATTATGTATTTAAGACCATTAAAGTAATTCATAAATGTGTATACTAGGTACGTTAGTAATATAAACAATACTACGTATTTTTCACTAAATCTTTGAAAACATTTATTTAAATAAATAATTTAATCAAGGATATTTCTCCGATAGCAATTCGTGTATAATCATTAATTATTACAATTGTCACTGTTTGATAAACCGTTGGTGGTATTTTCACAGATTATATTCATATAATCGGTAGTATTTGTTTTGCTTGTTCTTTTATCCTTAACAAATTGTAATATATTCAGTAAATTAAATTAAATTTCTATACCTATCAATTTGTTTAACGGTAATTTATTATGAGTTTTGATAAACTGAATGATTGTCCGACCAATGAAAATAATCACGAAGACACTCTGCTCAAAAATAAACTCTACGCATGGTAACGATAAAAAGAAAGAGCACTTGGCTTAGGATTTTTACTCACAAATCAATATATATATTCATTTTTAGGTTTGAAGAAAAAGGATTGATTAATAATTTACGAGCACACATTAGAGAGCAAATGATAACATCGTTGCTGGATCGGAATTCTTGGAACACTATAAAACAAAACATTACTTCTCCTAAAATTCAAGCATTCCACTTGTTAATAGCAGAGTTTTTAATTTATCAAGAAAATGTATTTACTTTACCTGTTTTCATGGCTGAAGTATAATTGAAGTTACACAAAATATTTTTTTTTACATAAGTTGGAAATGTTTTTTTTTTGTGTTTTTGAAGGTACCATTATTGGGCAACTTAAAAAAGTTTTCGACTTACGTCAATCGAGTGGGAGTATCATCGTCAAATTCTTCATTGCCTAAACCGAGGTTTCAATTATGTGAAGTACAAGATATATTAGAAGCTTTGGGTGTACACCCCAGTTCCGATGTTACGAAAAACGTATGCCAAATATATTTTAGCCATGACAATACTGTTCCATTAATCATGAGTCTTTTCAAAGGTTTTTCTTCTATGCATATTAACCAAAAGTAAGTTGTAAGTATTTTTCATAAGTTCATAAAACAAAATAGCGTTTGAGATCCAGTACAGGATTCATCATACTTGTTTTTAAAGACGCCTCGTTATGATGACTGGCAGAAGTGAATTAAGAAATTATGAATATCAACTACTAACCACTTATTAAAAATATTTCCGCAATTATCGTTTGTAATATTTGTAATATCGTTTGTATTACATTTATCCGTAATTTTATTATTGCTTGGTTTCGTAAAGATTACTGAAACAAAATTTATATTAAATATTACTGTCAAATTAATTAAAAACAATTATATTTTAGAAACCATCAAACACAGTACACGAAACAATTGCCTATGAATAACGAAAATTTAAGGCTTAAAAAGCAAAACAAAGAAATTGTGGATAAAGTAGCTGAAGTTGAAAAAATGCCAGCGGCGCAGCATAGAAATATACTCTTTGATAAAGAACAAATAGAATATGTTACGCAACAACTTCGTACTGAACAACACCATTTATATCAGTTAATTGACATTTTCGAAGTAAGCACAATTACAAATTTTATTTCATAGTTTGATCTCAAAAGATTCTGTTTAAAGACTATACTACGTACTTTGGTTTTATTTTAAATTGTATTTTAGGAAAAGGAAAAAAAAATACAGTCATTAGAAGCTGACTATTATAAAAAATTACAAGATGTGGAAAATCAAAAATGTGAACTGAAGCTTAGAGAAATGGAAATTATAAAACAAGAAAAATTGTAAGGGCATTACATACATATACATACATTTATATATATATATGGGGCATTCTGTGTCAAACCACGCGGTCATCGGCCTGACCTCAAATTTTTTTTTTAACTTCTTTTGATCAAATATAAGATTTTTATTTTTTTGACATTTTTATTATAAAGTCAGTCTTAAATCAAATCTTTTCGTCTAATAACAGGAGTGGGTCTAGATTTATTTCTATTTTTTTTTTAATACAATTTTGTTTTTTTCAAAATCTGAACATTTTTTTTTAATTTCAGTTTTGTTATTTAAAAAAGAATAAAAAATAAAATATTTCTTGGTAAATTTTGATTTTTTGCATATTTTGTGAGTTAAAAGTGAAAAATTGTCCTTACGAATAACATTAAAAATAATACAGGGGCATAGTGTGGATGATGCAGTGTGCCACGCGGCATTTGACGGTTAAGCTGTGTCCGTTACTGCTTGATCCAGGGTGGGTGACTACCCGGGAAAATTGTCTTTATTAAAAAAAAAATAGAAATAAATCTCGGCCCACTCCCGTTATTAGACGAAAAGATTTGATTTAAGACTCCGATTTTATGATAAAAATTTCAGAAATTTAAAACTGGTCGAAATCAATTTTTTTGAAAATTAACTTTAAAAACCTATATTTTTGGGGCAAAAACTAGTGATAAACATTTCAAAAAAATAAAAGTCTTACATTTGACCAAAAGAAGTTTAAAAAAAATTTGAGGAGGTCAGGCTGATGACCGCGTGGTTTGACTCAGAATGCCCCATATATTTTATTTTCTTCTTCTACTTTTTCTTCGGGTATATATATATTATTTACATAACAGTAATACCAAAATTTGAAACTCTGTCTACATACGTAATTTTAATACACAAATATTAACTATTACTTCTAATTTCCAATAATTTAGTAAAATACATTACATCAAAATTTTAAAATATATTGACTTAGATTTGAGTTACAAAAATTATAGTATTATAATATTTTATGTGTGACTTTTAAGGATAAGAGAAGGAAAGTTACCAAATATTGCAGAAGAGGCAGACCAAATTGAATGTAGTCGAGTAAAAAATTTAGAGGCACAAAATGTATATTTAACTAAAGAACTAGAAGATTTTAAAATTAAACTTAACGAGCTTGAACAATACAAAACAATTGAACGCGTGAATATAAATGAAGATAAAAATAATATACTAAATGTTGAAGCGTCATTGGTAAACGTTACGATAAACTTAAAGTATATAATTGTATTAATTCTTTTATTTCAGGACAAAGAAATGGTTGGTAAATTACAAAAAGAAAATGAGGAGTTACGCGAATTTATTACAATTCAACGACATAGAATTGAAGAATTGTCGTATAGAGCTTCTAATTTGGCAAAAAAAATTGAAAAAACTCATCTAGTGTCTCCAACTCTCAGTGATTATCGTCGTGCAAGGACTGTAAAAAAAAAGCTTGCTTTCGTTGAAAACCTAAAACCAAAAAATCGTTTAATCCTACAACATAAATTTACTAATACAACCAGTGATCACTCGACAACTTTGTTGGAGTCGGACAATCAGACCGACGACGAAATGATACAAGAAGCAACGGCTAGACTAAATAGAATAAAAGTGGATAAGGCTAAGGTCCAACAAGACTTCGAAACTTTCCAATCTCAACGCATAAAGAGTAAAAATACTTATCAAAGGCAAATTGTAAACAGGAAATCTTATAACGAAATACGTTCATATTTATCTGATGATTCAGACTTGGATATTTTCAAAACTAATAATAGAAATAAAAGGAATTTAAAAGAATTAGCCAATAGAATTGGATATCATCGATCAATTAGACGAGACAATCAGCCTATACTAAACGTCTATGAAACAAGTCCTAGGATTTTCCGAAATACGAGCATAAAAAGTTGTTCTAATGATATATCCCCTATCGAAATTCCGCTATCTAATAGATTTGATTACGAATCAACCAATTCAAATATTCAATTACCGAACGATTATAATAGAAAAGTATCGTTGATAGATGAATCGAATGTGATAATAAAAAATAAACTACAATCTACAGCATCTACTTCTAAGAAAATACTTTCTGAATCTGATTCATTGAAAGAAAATAAATCGGATACGAATGAAACAGAATGTAACATAGGTGATAGAGCGCAAACAGATATTGTAGCTAAGAATTCAAGTGATTTATCAAAGACAAATGATACAAAAATGCATAATAATAAAAACATGCTTTCAATTAGTAATGAAAAAATAATTGGTTTATCTCAAAAACCAGAAAATATACAATAGGTCCATTTGAACTAGGTAAATTCGTCAATTGATAATGGCTATAAAAACAAATTTTTTATAATGCAATATAATTGTAATATTTGAATATTTACTTGTATAACATAATCGACCCCCCCCTCCCCATTTAGTTACAACCGCATTGTTTAGTTTAGAGTAATAAGTTAATATTTTTGTGTCCCCTAAAATATATATTAAAAGCTTGTGTTGAAGTATATCCTTGTTGTATTATAATACGTACCAAGTTATATTGGGCATGAACTGTTGATCAGTCTTCATATCTTTTGTATTCATATCGGATAGTAATTTGAGTTCGAAATTATCTAATGGTTCTATTAGTGTTATAGCGCTTTTTAAACGATGAATTAAACAATGTGTATGTTTTTTTATATCTATTCTCTTATCTGTGTGTGATCTGTTCTGAATCGCAACTGTCGGTTGTTCGTTCCGATGACACAAGACTTGTAGTTCTATTTCTGATTTCCGGTTTTTCGATTAAACCTTTATTTATTATACAGATTACCATACGAAACCGACGCGATAATGCGAGATCTCAACTGTTTTCCGAATTGAGATTGAGTTTTTTTGTATAACAGCCACGAGTTAACTATTGACACATCAATCAAGTGATAGAAAATTAGCATGTACCATTTTCTGGATCTCATACGAATTTTATATCTATCAATAAGGCTATCCAAAAAATGTACCCCGCCCATAAAACGCTTGTACTCTCTGATTACACCTGGACAATTAATTTCAATAAGGTTTTTTAGTTTTCTATCAAACCTTTCTATTTTCAGTATTGATAACAACTTGTTTGTTATCTTTCCATGACGTAACCGAAATAGGTGTATTTTCATAAGATGTCTAGGTATTGAGGCGATTATCTCTGCTTTTCTTTATTCACTAATTTACCGTTTGGCATTTTACTATTGGGAAGTCGATATTTTCTTACTGTACCCAAGCACAAAATGCTATTTTGGTGCAAATATGCAGTTAGTGGAATACTAGTGTAAATACAGGGGTTTTTATTATATCAAAAACGCCTTGATTTATCCGCTAGATGGCACTAGGAAGATGAAAAATAAATTAGATAAAGAAAAAGGAAAAAAAGATTATTGCAAAAAAGCAAAATGGCGCATTGAAGGGTTATTAAAAAAAAATTTGACTACCTAAAGATTTTTGAGAAAATTTTAAATGTTATAATTCCATTGTGGATCTACATTCGGTCTTTTTTTCAGACCTAAATACCTAAAACATTGCTAGTTATCCTTTCTAGGGGAAATAGTTTTGTGATTTATGTATAGAATATTCCATAATCAAGCTTCTTCGACTATTTAAAAAAAAAACGATTTCTAAAGTGTCGTAATTTTAAGTTGAAAAATATTTAAATTTCTATAACTTTAATCATTTTAATATCTATAACGAGTTATAGAAATTTACTTGTTGCATTATTAAACTAGAAAAGGAGTGAATGGAATATTTTTTTTTTTGCCGGCAATACTCTACCGCAATACACTACTGTAAAAATACTGAGCTAGGTAAAATAATATAAAAGGTAAATACTTAGTAGCTTTATAATATTGTGTAACAACACAATTTTAAGTCTCCTCCATTATAAAAACTAAAAAAAAAAGATGATTTCAAAAGAAGTTTAGTGTCTTTTCGTTTATGAATGAATCCGTTTGCTATTATGTTTTGATTTATCGAAAATATTATAATAACAGGTTTTAGTAATAAATTTGAAGTTTCACGTGCTTACAACAATTTTGTTTATTTCATCGAAGCATAAAAAAATTAATTGTTTTTCTGTAAAATATTTTCGTATTTGAACATTAGCACAAATAAGAAAAATTTTAACGACAACATCAGCAGAAAAAACGTAAACCATTTTGTCGACCGCAAAAAGTTATAAAAACTATTGGTAGTAAATTGACATTTATAGCTTAAAAAAAAAATCGTTTTACCGTAAAATATTTTCGTATTCGAAACGTTTGTACAAATAAGAAAATAGTAACGACAACGACAGTAGAAAATACATAAAAAAATTGAACAGTGAACGATCGATTTTCAATTAAAATCTACTCGTCGATAAAATATCTGTTTATACTTCATATTCCGAAAAGACTGTGAATAGTCGTAGCAAATTTGCATTGCCTATCAGTTATCAGATACACACGCCACGTACATATTTTGAATTACAATGTTCTCAAAAAATATTATACTACTTTTGTGTGTCGTGGGTATTATAGAGGAAAGTATCACCGCCGGTGATGAAATAAAATCCGATACGGTGGATAAAGCGTCTACGAAGGGCATTCCTGTGGTGGTATGTATCTAAAATTCAGAAATACTTAAAGGTTTATAGTATAGATGGCCAAAATAACATAATAACCTATTGCAATAAAATATAGACGATAACATATTTTAGTTAGAGATGGTTATTTGTGTTATTTTTTGGATAAAACTGTAAGCAGGTGTTGCAAATTCTTATTCGATTGAATTGAATTTAAAATTATTCGAAAAATTATTTTTTAAATTGTATTATAAATAATTTTTAAATAAATAATATGTTATCTAAGAAATTATGTAGATAACGTTGTAACGTGCCTACTGTCTGGTTAAGTGCAGTGGTCGTCGATAAGGCTAAGGACGTGGATCCCTGGCACGGGAAACGGTTGGCTAAGCCGTGTGCTACACGTAATAACCTTAAAGTCCCTTTTAAAACTTAATATATCGCCCGAAGGGCTTAAACGGGCGGTCACGCTAATAAGGTAGTCGACTCTCAAGTGCAAGCTACAAGGTGTTTATTAAAGTTGCTAAACAAAATAAAGTTATAGTACATGCATAAAATAAATATATAAATACTTACACTCTGACCTGAGTGATTTGATTGAGTACTATCTACGGGGAAAAAGAACACTTGTAATTTTGGCAGACTTCTGGTGATTGCTGATGAAGACCAATCCCTTTTGCTCTCGGTCATGCTGATGACCTGGAAGGGCATCCCTCTCGAGGCTACCTTATAGTCGCAGCAAGTGGTGCATAAAGAGTAAGCCTACCCGTTGTGGCATTTTTGACATGGTTGGGGCTAATTTGGGATTCCATGGATGTTCTCAAAGTCCACCAAAATATAGTAGTGCTCTTTCTAAGAAATTATGTGTAATAATTATTTACATTTAAAAATTTCAAAATGAATAAGTTACAACTTTTATTGGGTCACAAACGTGTGGGCGTGCATCCCGCGAGTAATTAAAAAAATGAAATAAAAATTGTGCTTCATCACAAAATAAATATAATTTAAGGTAACTTAATGGCTTTGGGGAAAAAGCTTCTTAAAAAACCAAACCATTTACAATATGTCCTTAAGTTAAGGAATGCACGCACCTAGTGGTGTCTTGATTTTACTGTAGGGAAAAAGATGGATGTAAACAATCAAAAATTGAAGGAAATAATTAATCCGTCCTCAGGTCGCTACGCTATTTTTAAAATGTATATAAACATTATACATACGATACAAGAAAAATATACATAAATTATCTTGACGTTGACTGATCTTGCGTCCTATTGTGTATCGTATGTTTAAGAAAGGTTTTATCTAAGCAAAACATGTGTATATAATAAAAATGTGTAAAATAATGGTATGATTAGTGTACAGGTTGTCTTTAAAAAGACAGTTTTAAAAAGAAAAGTTGGTCCCATGCTGCACCTAAAACTTAAAAATGTAAATATATATATCATGCAGTATATTCCATATAAATTATTATTATCCAGTATTTTTGCTTTGGAGAAAACAAGTTATGCATCTATTTATATTTCACACATTATGCCTTATAAACTACAAAACTATTTAGTTATAGCACTATTCGTTACCGAACCTTTGTTGTCTGGGCCTACCCAGATAATATGTGCGCGTCTGACTACCTAAGCATAAAATAGGGCAAATGAACGGCTTGTATTTTACGATCGGACGGTTTTCTAACCGTCCGTTACCATTATGTGCAGTGCGCAGTGTATTTGTATTTTATCCTAAGACGAAGCAAGAAGTCATCGTTGTTCCACGTAAGTACGTTTTATTATAGAAATTTATAAGTGAATTCATTATAATCATAAACGAAAAATGGGGATTTTATAATAAAATCAATACTTGTAAAAATGTAGTGAGATATTTCAAATATTTTGGTAAATTAAATTATATATAAAAGTGCGCTTAAAATTACCGTAAAAGGATATTCGCTCTAATGCCGCGTGGTACGTATATAAGAAATGCCGAACATTTAATTATTTTTGACCTTTAAAACAAAAAAAACAAAAATTAGGTTAAAATAGATAATAAGAATTAGAACGCCGTGTCTGTATGACTCGATGCCATAACAAATAAGTCGAGTTTTCTTATGATCGAAATTATTTTAGATATTGTGGTCACCGCAAAACCAATAATTATTAGTTATATTACCTCTAATTTCTTTTTTTCAACGCAGTTTAGCCTTTAAATTGTCAACACGCAAATCGCTAAAAGTTTTTGTTAATTTATTTTCAACATAAAAAATATTATAATTTTTTTTATACTAGAAATTGTTTTTATAATATTTACTTTCTCTTCCTCCAAACTTTCCAATTGCTCCGCACTTTCTTCGTTTTCATAAGTAAGTCTATCATTTGATGCCTTTAATCCATGTGCCGTCTAAAACGGTGTATAATATATTTTCAATATGTATTTTTAGTATAAATAGTTGTTAATCTATAAATGGTAAAGGAATTTAATCCACATTATGTTATTATATTTTAACTGTTAATCATACTATAATTGTATAAATTATTATTTTTTACTACTGGTTGTGTACTAAGTTGAAAAAAAAATACCACTATCATAGTATTTCGCTAATTAATTTTGTTGAAATAAGGTTATATTTCCTAAACAGGAGTACCCATTTACGTATAGTAAAAAAGTATTTAATTAATTCTTTAATTTTAGTTTACTTACTTGTTTTAATTTTTCTTTC